CATGCTAACAGGGCAAACGCTAAATGCCACAGATGAACGCGGCCTCACCCAGGATGTTGTCGTGCCTCAGCAACACCGTGTTGTAGATCTCAGTCTCCCGAAACCAGGACTTCTCATCCCGGGAGGAGAAGATCTTGACGGCCACGTTCTCGCCCTGCCACTGGCTCCTCCACACCTCCCCGTATCGCCCCTTACCTGTGGTGGGGGTGGGAAGTCAGATGGGCTGTTCAGGTCGACTGGTGTGTGTAGATGGACAGATACCGACCTGGTCTCTTACTAATGAAAGAATGTTTAAAATGGCTGAGAGGCAGCTGACAGATAGGCTCTGACCCCTGTCGTCTAATCGCTTTGCCGAGTGCAGGAAGGGTTAAACCCTCAAAATGTACATTTATATCTGGTTTCTGCTTTTTCCTCCCGATAGAAGACAGGCCAGAATTTTACTGTTTTATTTGTTTTTCTAGGACTTATAGTTTTTTGATACACTACAGGGTCTCACTGTGCTTCGAGCCTAAGCTAGAGTATGAGGAACAAACAGGGACACCAGCAAGGGATGGGGAGGACATGCAAACTCCCCACACACACACACACACACACACACACACACACACAGAGCCAAGGGTGAGAATCAAAGTCCCACAGGCATGAGGCTACAGCGCCACCCACTGAGCACCACAAGTAAAACCTTCCCGGCAGGATGTGATAATGATCATGCTGCACTCTGCCAGGACAACGGGGAAACTGACCCACACACTCGTTGAGTGTGATCTGCCGGGCGACGGTCCTCTGGACCAGGAACGGGAGTCCGGAACCACTGCCTGAAGTGCAGGAGTGGTCCAGCAGGTCCTGCGAGGGAAGCGGAAGGGCATCAGCAGACCGGCCAATCGCAAGCCAGACATTCTTCAAGGCGGCGTGGGGGTGACGGCAGGGCAGGAGACAATGACTGGAAAAATAGACACTGTATGCAAGTGGGCAATGTAACTGTCACATGGGTGAACAACGACTCCACCATGACTGCCTTCTGCGATTAGTGGGTGGACGAGAGATCTAATTAAATCCCTTCCTCGCACTCCAAAGGCGCTTGGTGTTAAGCCTTGTCTTTATACCCACTCTCCACACAAGATTACAGGCCAGCCCCTGCCAGTAGGCTGTAGCTGCCACAAGAGGGCGCTGGTGCGCAAAGAAATGGGAAGAAAGCCAGACACAAGTGCTACAAATTTGAAGAGGAGATTTCCTGAAGAAGAACCGCCCCCATACACACGCCCAGGAGGTCTATCCCATCGGAGTTAAAGCATTCCTGTAATGAGAGGGCTAGGCGTGACTTGGTCGGACGCAGGAAGAAGAAAAAAAACAAGCAGTTAATCTGCAGCTGTGCGGAGGAACTAACATGCACAGCAGGGACAGCAGCACTGGTGGCAGGAGAGAGGGAATGGGGGGGGGGGGGGGCAGAGAGAGGACAGGGGGCCCTAAAATTCAGCCCAGAAGTCCTGCCAGCATCAGCACAGCCCCACGAACGAGGCCCCAGACAGCTGGCAGAGGTTCTGCATGTGACAGGACGTAAATGTGGGAGACCCCCCCAAAGACCCCCACCCCCGGCTCACCGCCAGCGTGCTCTCGCCCACGTTGGACGCCACTATCCCTTCGATGGCGCCGTACTCCGCGTCACGGAACACCGGCCGCTCCATCTGCTTCTGGTGGATGCGCCGAAAGACCAGGACGGCCACAGAGGAGAGGACGATGAGGACAACCACGGGGGCCACCACCACCAGAGCCAGCGAGGACATGCCGTCACTCAGACCACCAGGGGGCTCCCCTGAGCAAGTGGCAGGAAAGGGGGGGCAGAGTCAGAAATCAGCCAGACGGCTCAGATCATCGGGCCAAACGCACGCTAAACCTGTCACGTTACCGACAGGCACAGTGTCACACGCTTCACGCCAAAGTGCCTGGGATACTATCCAAAGGATGGAGAATCAGGAGGAAGACAGGAATACAGGACCCAGAAATCCAGTGCCATGTGCTAACACTGGAACGCACTGGCTACATCCCAAAACATCCAAAGACTCTTCAGCACCCCCCTCCCTGGCTCTCTTTCCTTCGTCCCGAAAGCGTCTCCGAATTCCAGGTGCTGAAGTGCTGTCCCAATACCCTAGGGAACGAGTCAATGAGGGTCGATTTTCACTCAAATATTGAGACTACCCTTTGCAGAGAAAAATTCGCCCTCGGTGACACCCACGCGTTACTTGGCTGAGTGGGATGATTTTATACATAGAAGCAGAGCATGGTAAGTCATCACGGATGCAAGTGTGTCCCAATACCGCTTTATGCTCATGCTACCTTCCTCGCTCACTCACTTGTTCCTTCCCTCATCAGTTAAACTTTCAACATTAGACAGTCGAGTCATCAAGGGAGGGAGCGAGGGAGCTGTCAAAAAAATAGTTTCAGGATGTAGCCAGTGGCTTTAAAAATGCATTAAAAAATTGGACAGAAAGGTCCGAGCCAATCGGGTGTGTGCACTATGTGGGGGGGGTGCTTACTCTGAACGGGCAGCTCAACGCTGATGTTGTGGTTGCACAGGTGCCCCTGGCAGCACTCCACCACCTGGCCAGCAGAGGGCGGCGTCCTGCAGGTCATGCGGCCCTGCTCATACACGCGAAAGCAGCCCTTCAGGTAGAGCCGCGTGCTGCCGCTCAGCGTCACCGACGCAAAACACTGATGCCCCCAGCAGCGGGCGCTGCTGACGCACGAGCGGCCCTCACACACGCACTCATGTTCCCGGAGAGAGGGCTTCTCTTCTGGGGGGGGGCACAGGGAGAGGGAGAGCGGTGAGTAAAGGGCACCTGCAACAAAACTACTCATCCTTCAGTGAGGTGGAGCCACAACTCTCGAAACTAACAGACAGACAGGAAAAACAAACAAACACACATATACTCTCTCTTTGGGGAAGACCAAAAAAATCCAAGAACAGGTCAGACTTGTTCCCCGTCCACAGAGGCTGTAGGATCACCATCCAACATGACCTTCTAGTTGAAGATGCAGCCGCAGTAGAAGGACCGTCCCCGATACAGGGATACATTCAGTGATGTGGGCGTGGCACCACCTTCCCCGCACACTCGCCGCTCACCTCTGACTGGGAGCTCCGCGGTCACGTTGGCGTTGCAGAGCTGGCCCCGGCAGCATTTCACCACTAACTCTGGGGAGGCGGGGCTTCTGCAGTCCACGCCCCCATCCTCTGTCCCCACCACGCATCCCTTGCGGTGCGTCGCGGTCCCATTCGAGACCAGGAGGGCAGAGAAGCACTGCGGGCTGAGACAGCGCGCCCCAGTGGCACACGCCGGACCCTCGCACACGCACTCGCTGTTCCTGGGCTGGAGCTCCACCTCCTTGCCTGGGTGGGGAGGGGGACGGGGGGGTATGCAGAGAGCTGAATCATCCATCCGTCTGCCCACAGAAAAACGTGGGAATTTTCCCCTGCCGTGATCGAGCACAGGGCAAGACGGAAAGACGGAGGAAGGTGCATCCTGAACCCCCACAATGACGAACCATCTCAGGGCTCCGCGGCACGGCTGTGAGATAATGCCTTAAAGATCCGACTCCACTAAAAATAAAACTTAAAAACAAACATTGGTTCAAATACGGGGAAAAGCCTTAAAAAGTGCTCTGTGGAGCCTCAACAGGCTGGTCAGGAGAGAAGTGCCAGGCCAGCAGTCCCATGCAGTGTGGATCGGGACACAACACACAACCGGGAATCCAGAACGGAGCAGAACTTCCAGACAGGCAGTCAGAGTTTTAGTCTTGCTTAAGCAGACAAGTGGAGCTTCAAGGCTTGGGGGGGGGGGGGGTGTCAGCCCAAACAGGACTTACCTTCCAAGCTGGGAGAACTTAACACCAACGTCAGCAGAACCACGAAGACCATGATGCCGTGCAGCATCACAGACCTGGAGACGGGGCAGAGGGAAGCAGAGCTTATTAACAAAAAATAAACTGCAGACCAAGCTCACGCGCATCCAGCTCCTTCTCCGCGTCCAGGATGCCTCAAAATATTTCTGTCTTCAGCACAGGAGGAACGCTGGCGCAGTTTGAGGAACAATCAGGACAAGACAAAAAAAAAAAACAGCTGTGTTTTCTCAAAACAACAACAGCTCGAACCCACGAGCGCCTGCGGCAAACTGACAGCGGACGGCCGCCGAACACACCGAGCTTCCAGTCAGACGGAGATGACGGACTCCACGCTCTAAGATGGCATTTTGAGCATGAGAGCGCGCCCTGCGGGTGGGGGGGCAGGCCGGCGGTGCATGGGGAGGACTCTCACGCGGAGATAAAAGGCCGCTCCATCGCCAGCGGAGAGTCAACACCAAGTTTGAAGCGCTCAGTCTGAGCGGATGGCATGCGGCTCCGTCGTCCCGGCAACACGGCGCTGAGCAGAGGGAGACCAGCGCGCTCCCATTGGCTGGGGAACAGGCGGAAGGGACGGCAGGCCCTGCGGGCGCGAGGGGCGTGGGAGGAGAAAGAGGAGGAGGACGTGCAGGGAGCCCGACAGAGAGGATTTTGCAGCAAAATCAGCCCGTTATTCCTCTTCTTGGAGGCTGGGGGTAAAATCTTTGATGAATACATTACAA